TTACGCTGCCTGCAATGCCATTGGACAAATGTCTACAGATTTTGCGCCAACTTTTGAAAAGAAATTCCATGAACAGGTGAGTACAGTCAGAGCATTGAAGGTTTAGTGCCAAACAAGGCTACGTGGTTTTCCTTTTTACGAATGCATAACAATTAAAAATGCAACTCTTTGTTTAATTTCAAGGTCGTCCCAGGATTGTTATCGCTGCTCGACGACGTACAGAATCCACGTGTGCAGGCGCATGCTGGTGCTGCTTTAGTTAACTTCTCCGAAGATTGCCCCAAGCATATATTAACCCGTTATTTGAATGGCATTATGTCCAAGCTTGAGAACATTTTGAATTCGAAATTCAAAGAGCTCGTAGAGAAGGGTAACAAATTGGTGTTGGAGCAAGTCGTCACCACCATTGCTTCAGTGGCCGATACATGCGAGAAAGAATTCGTTACCTACTATGATCGTCTCATGCCATGCTTGAAGTTCATCATTCAAAATGCCAAATCCGAGGACCTGCGGATGCTACGTGGCAAGACTATAGAATGTGTCAGCTTGATTGGTCTGGCTGTAGGCCGTGAGAAATTCATTACTGATGCTGGCGAAGTTATGGACATGTTGTTGAAGACGCACACCGAAGGCGATTTGCCAGATGATGATCCGCAAACATCTTACTTGATTACTGCTTGGGCGCGTATGTGCAAGATTTTGGGTAAACAATTCGAACAATACTTGCCGTTGGTCATGGGCCCGGTAATGCATACGGCAGCTATGAAACCAGAGGTAGCACTACTCGATAATGATGAAGTGGAGGATATTGAAGGTTTGTTGGATCTAAGTTTGATAATTGTATTGGTATCAGAAGTGATTATAAAAAAAAATAAGGCGGTTAAGTCTTAGTGGAATGAGTCTTAATACAATGTAAAGTGATGTGTTGAGGTTATAAGCGATATGAATTGAGGCGATGTGATATGATTTAATGTAAATTGATGCCGCGTGTGTCATCTGTTTGGGATGAGGTGATTTTTATAAGTTGATGTGATGTGAAGTGACTTGATCTTGTTATGTGATCCGAAATGATGCGGTGTGATATGAAGTGATGTGATGTTCACCGGTGTGATGTGATTTGAAGCAATATAAGGTAATGTGATAAGAAATCGGCTATAATCAGTATAAATGAAGGGTGACCTTTCCCTTTAAGGCGGGAGTATCGCGCTAAGATCAACCCAAGCCAAGGTTTGATGATAGAATGAATTATTAAAAGAAATGCAAAGAAAATATAATTTTCAAGCCAAAAAAAAAACGAAAGTACCGCATAATGCATTGAGACTCCCACTAAACATTCAATATATTAATTTAATCTACAGGTGACGTTGATTGGTCATTTATCAATTTGGGTGAACAGCAGAACTTTGCCATCCGCACAGCTGGCATGGAGGAGAAGGCATCTGCCTGTGAGATGTTAGTTTGCTATGCTCGCGAATTGAAGGACGGTTTCGCCGATTATGCCGAAGAAGTCGTGCGTCTAATGGTACCGATGTTGAAGTTCTACTTCCACGATGGCGTACGTACGGCAGCCGCTGAATCTCTGCCATATTTGTTGGATTGTGCAAAAATTAAGGGCCCACAATATCTGGAGGGTATGTGGCTGTACATTTGTCCGGAATTGTTAAAGGTAATCGGCACGGAACCGGAGGCGGATGTTCAATCAGAATTACTTAATTCTTTGGCTAAATGTATTGAGACTTTGGGTCCAAATTGCTTGAATGACGAGGCAATGAACCAGGTATTGGACATCATTTCCAAATATATGGGCGAACACTTTGAACGTGCTGACAAGCGTTTGCAAGCTCGCACCGAGGAGGACTACGATGATGGTGTCGAAGATGAGTTGGCCGAACAGGACGACACTGACACATACATACTATCAAAGGTGGTGGACATTTCGCATGCGCTATTCCTCACCAATAAGGCACAATTTTTACCATATTTCGATCGCATTGCACCACATTTTATCAAATTGCTTGAGCCTAACCGCTCATGGTCTGATAGGCAGTGGGGTGTTTGCGCTTTCGATGATGTTATCGGTAAGTTAATTGGCCTCACATTTTTTGTAGTAAAATTTAAATTAAAACACTGGATCGTGCAGAGTTTTGTGGTCCAGCCTGCGCGGCCTACCAACAGATTTTCACACCACCTTTGCTACAATACGTTACCGACAAATCAGCCGAAGTACGTCAAGCAGCCGCATATGGCTGCGGTGTATTGGGACAGGTAAAACCATAATGTTTTATAAAAACCTTAATTCGTGCCATTTTTCGAATATTTGTTTTTGTTTTCAATCTCCAGTTTGGTGGCGAACACTTTGCCGTCACATGTGCTCAGATCATTCCGCTTTTAGTGCAAGTTATATCCGATGCAAAGAGTCGCGAACCCGAAAATGTCAATCCCACAGAAAATGCAATAGCAGCAGTTGCGAAGATCCTGAAATATAACAGCAGCGCCATACAAAATGTCGATGAGATTATCAACCTTTGGTATATCAAACTTTCTCCATTGAGTTTTCTCAAACGTTTGCAGATATTTATATATGTATATAATGCTATTATACTTCGCAGGTTCTCTTGGCTGCCCGTAACTGAGGATGCTGATGAGGCACCGCATATCTACGGATACATGTGTGATCTCATTCAGGCCAATCACCCCATTATACTTGGCAATAACAACAGCAATTTGCCACGCATTGTCTCAATCATAGCACAAGCGTTCGTCACAAAAGTTGTGGCGCCGTTAAACGATGTGGGTACCCGCATGCTGGGTATTGTGAAGCAAGTAGAATCCAACCCAGACGTTTTCCAGGCATGCGCTAGTATTTTGACACCTGAGCAACAGTATGCGCTGCAGGACGCCTATCGGGAGCTGGCTAGTGGTGCAGTGCCAGCAACTGCATAAAAGACAACAATAACAACAACAGCAAATAGAAATTTAACTGTTGCCGCTGCTGCACTCTTATAACACTTAATACACAGTTATATATGTTTAATTAATATTGAAGCGATAAAAAAGATATATGAGTATAAATAAACACGGGTGATATTGTGATGAATCCACCCACAGTATATAGCATATAGAAGCCCAAAACCACAGCTCCCACATACAGCAACAACACGCGCAACAGACAAACACATCCCAAAGGCAAATATGCTGCTTTAAATATAACACACAAAACGAACTCAAAAGCTAGAGAAGCGGCAAATTTTGCATTCGATGAACCGTAAAAAAAATCTACCAATTCACTTATTGCAAACAGAAAGCATAAATACTACATAATTATGTATATGTATGTGTACTACAAAAATATAAATAAATATATATATGCATATATATAAATATATACGTATATTGAGGTCAAATGTTTGGCACTTTTTTCGAGGACAATTAGCTTCTGTTATGGACTTAGAGTCAATAATTTAGTTTTAGATTTTTTGTGGACTTTGAGCCGTACCAATACTGATAATCTCTTGCAAGTCGGTTTATTAATGGGTCGACTCGGTTGGATTGCCTTTGCGCAACGCCTTTGAAATGAAAACATATATTATAAACTATAGTTGTTAAATTCAATAAAGTTGGAGACTTTATGGTGGATGGTCATAATTGTCCTAAAGCTAACTTAGCTATTAACAGTTGAACTTTTTGAAGTTGATTTGCATAGTAGTTGGCACACAAACCGGAGGGACCTACATTTTTTTGCCGACTCCGAACGGCGATTGTATTTTTATAAGAAGCTATTTTTCATGGCAGAAATACACCCGGAGGTTTGCCATTGCCTGCCGAGGGACGACCGCTGTTAAGAAAAAAAGTTTTTTATATTTTTTTTTTTATGATGTTGCTTTAACCATGGCTTGAACCCAGGCGTTGCGGAGTGGAAGCGGGCGCTGCTTACCCCTACACCACAGCGGCCGACATGGTTAAAAAAAATGGCGGTTTTCAAGAACTATTTTTAAAATATGGGATCCGTACGATAAGTCGAAAATAAAAATGTCGAAATTTAAAATTTTTTAAAATCTGTTTTTGTTATTTTATGGCCTTATAACAATTATATTCAACAATTTTTATTGAGCTTGAGACCGTTTTTAATGAAAAACTTACTGTTGAATATAATTTCTTAAATCGAAATAATGTTTTACAGAAACGGAAAATGTCGAAATCGTATCCTTTTGAAATGAAGAAAAGATCGAAAAAATCCAAAACGTCGAGAATGTCGAAAAAGTTGAATGTTTGAAAAACGGGTCTGGTACGATATGTCGACAATTTTTTATCGACATTCTTGATTTTCTAACATTTTTTTCGGTGTTTTTAAGGTCGACATTTTAAATTTCGACATATCGTACCAGACTTAAAATAATTTTTTTTTATGACGTGATGGTTTATTTTGTTAGATTAAACTATTTTTTTGTAATTTGTTTTCGAAAACTTGTGATAAGATATTTTTAGCAAGGTGTTAAAAACCGTGTTTTTTAATTTTTTACCTTTTTATTAACTATACGACTTTTCATACCTGGGGGCAATTTCTGTTCTGTGAAAACTTGAAGGGAAAACATTTTTCATCACTTCACATAAAATTAATAATTTGCGAAAAAATTTTCACCGTGAAAACTTTTCCACAAAGCTTTGTGGCTGTGAAAAATAAAAGTTTGCAAAAAAATTGAAAAAAGATACTTCTCCGTGGGCTCAAAATTTCGTGATTTTTTTTTGTGATTTACGAATACCATTACTTAATAAAAAGTTGGTGTCATCTTTTTCTCGATAAATAATGTAAAAAAATATATTTTACCCCCAAAAAAATATTGAGGGGTAAATATTGTATGGAATGACCTATGTATATAGCTACAGTGGAATTTATACTAGATAAATCAAAGAGATGTGAAAATGAGAGGAGATTGTCGCCATTATTCTATTCTTCGCTTTTTGGCAATTGTATGCCCAGTGGGGAAGAAAAACGACTCGCCTTTTCCAGATTATGGATATTTATTACTACTCATAAACGCTATAATTTTATATGTGCTTTTTGCGAAAAATTTCCACCTTAAGTGGATGACAGACTTCATCAGGTACTTCTTCGCCCACTGTTATGGACACGTCACCTTGTGGACAAGCGCTTAACGCCACTAAGAGATTCATATCAGCTACAAATTCAATGTAATCACCCTTGCGAGCTGGACTGGGCTTGCAAAAATACTGTTGAGTATCCTGGAAAGAAACACCCATAAACACCATTAAATTGACTTTTTCACCTACAATTTTTAAAAACTCACTCTCGTAAAACCGGTGCACATGAAAATATTCCATACATCATGTACATCTTCCTCCTTCATGCCGCGCTCCTCGACCACTGCTTTGGTCAACGAACTATGGCAACTGCCCACACGCTCTTTGCCGGTGATTAGCTTATAAGTGTAATCGTCACAACGCGTACCGATCACATCATGTAATGAACCACCATCCTCATCAATGCCGTAGGCTGCAAGCGAATCGTAAACGAAAGTGGCCATCGGACGTAAATATGGTAAATTGCTCCACAAGCGATCGTACACTTTCAGATGTGAGCTATGCAGTTGGCGCGTCTTGCCCGAGTAGAAACGTTCCTTGGTATTATCTAAGTTCCACAAATTAACATCGCCCACCTGTGAGCCTTCGCAGACGGTGATGCGACACAAGTCGCCAGTCTGCATTGTCCAGGTGCGCGCGGTGCGCTTTGGCACGATCACTGTCTCGATGAGCTCTCCTTGGAGCGCTTCAAAACGCTTATCGTCGTATTCCTGTTGGTTGACCTGTGCTGAGGCAGGTTTGTTGTAACATATCAAGGGGGAGTGTTTGGGAAATGTGCGCGGTTTGAAACCATTGCTTGCCATGTTTTAAAATTATTATTTTCTAGCCTTTTAACTTTTCCAGAAATAGTAGTTTATTTTAATATTAAAAATTTAATTACGCAGCTACAGCAAATACGAAGTTAAATGCTATTGAATAGTAAAACTAGGAATGCTAATCAACTGAGATTAGATTGAATTTATAAGCTATTTAGAGAGAGAAAACGTGTTTTGTTTATTCAAACACAAGCAAAGATCGGTATGTATGTACATATGTGAGCTTTTAGAAAGAGCTGCTACTGATAACAGAACGTAATACATATACAAATTGTTGAGATTTTAAGTCAAACAAAATGCTATTTAGCTGGATAAATCTGGCAAATTTGAATACGCTGCCACTGCAGACGATTGGTTAGAGATGTGTACTGCCAGCAGGTCCGAGAAGCATCCCAAAAATAAATATAAGATATTCTAAAATAACGGTCGCATGCAATGGCAAATCTCCAGGTGTACTACTGTCATAAAAAAATCTACTGTTGTTATTGTAACGAGAAAATACATAAATTCCCTTAAAATTTTGGGGAACGATGCTGGGTGAAAAAACTTCTCATGAAAACCAGTTGCCGTTTGGAGGCGGCGGTAAACTGTAGGTTTCTTTATTTGTGTAAAATCAAAAGACCCTCACCGCAAATTGGAACAGAAGCTCGGCCAATGTACAGCATCGTTCACATCAATAGCACCTCCCTTTCAAAGTGATATTGTTTACTAGTTATGTGTATTTATTTATTTTTGAGAATTTTTTATAAAAGTATGTATGTAGATCGCTTGAAAATTCATAGAATCACTGAGAAACCAAAAAAAAATATGTAGGGTTGTGCGATTAATCAATTAATGAAACGAGCTGATTAATCGAAACCTAATAAGTTAATTAATCAAAGAATAATCAGTTTTGATTAATTAAAGTGATTAATTTGTCGATTAGTTATATTTTGATTACTCAGAATTTGATCAATTTTGCTAATCAGTAAGCTAATTAATTAATGATAACCTGCTTAATCAGAAACCTGAATAAATGTTGCTATATATATTTTTTTTTTAATAGAAAAAATTTATAGACATGCATATCGTTACCTTAATTCACAAAGGCTCTGACCAAAACTATTCAAAACTGCGCTTTTCACAGATTTTGGTAGGATATATTAAACTACACCTTTAATAAAAATTGTAACGAGCAAGTAAAGAAAACAACGCAGTTACATGCCACTTTTTAAAAAACCCTGCCTATTTTTGATATTCTTTTTATATGTTATGGTTTTTTCTTTTGCAAAAAAAAAAAAAAAAAATTTTTGGTTAAGGCGTTTGTGAATTATGGTAACGATATGTATATGTTTATTTCAAGCAGGAGTATAGTAACGTGTTCGATTGGCGTTGTATTTTTTTAATAAGAAAAATATTGTATTATAAATAATTCATTTGCTTCCTAGAAAAGTCGAAAACATTAGCAAATTTACTCAGATTTCAATCAATTTGTTACGAGTATACGGTAATTACCCAGGATCACATTTTTGTGATCAATTTAAAAATTATTCAATTGATTTATCGCACATCCCTTATTTTCTATTAAAATGCAGTTCATTCTCTAGCAAAACCGATATAAACTGAAGTTTACAATTTTGTAGAGAACTAAAAAAATTTTAATTTATTAAAAATAAATACACAAAAGTGGCATCAATATAATTTCGAAAGGGGGGGCGATGTTAATGATATGGCCGATACTGTATGTACATATTCCGCCGCCCTCGTAGATATTTATGTATGTACATATATTGTAGTTTCTACGGGTTTTGATACCCATACATACATAAATAACAGCTTTATTGGGAATGCAATAATGAGATCTTATTGTGAAATCTGAAGCGTCGATATGCGAGACATGAATAGAATACTCAGTGGCAATAAACTAATGAGATAAGTTCGAGCGAAATCGAACTGCATACATAAGTTTAGTATTATATACCCGGCACATGCATTGTATCGATTTTTTCATATTTCTGAAAATTGCCTTTATATGATATTTACAGGGGGACGGGATGTGCGAAGCGTTACTGAAATAGGATAGTGGCCTTGTGGCCTTATAAGAATGTTGTTGAAAGACCGTTTTTCATCAAATAGCATATCTGCTATTACGATTTCAAGGATATTTTGCCTGCCTGCCTGAAGAATAACAAATGTCAAAATCCGCCATTTGTTGAATTGGGTGGAAATCAAAATATTAATGATGTACTGGACTGTGTAAGTGCTTGTGTGTAAAGCAAAGGGTTTTTAAACTGATTTATATATAGTAAAATGTTTACAGAAGAATATCAAAACGGTGCAACCACTATTCACTTGCAAGTTTTGACTAGTTTTGTGTTCAATAACTGTTTCTGCTAGTTTTCTCTTCTCAATTTTACGCTCTATTTTGCTTTTACGCTCTCGCTGCAATGTTTTACTGGAGAAGTTACTATACAAACCTAATAAAAATTACGATATGTGGGCCCGTCGGCCCTGCCCTTAATCCGGAGCTATGTATAACTTATAACTGTTACGGTCCCTGATATAAATTAACCATGGCTGCATTCTTTAACACCTCGGTCTTTTGTTCTAATAAAAGTTTGGTGTAACTTAAGTGGAAAAAATTAATAGGGGAGAATTAACAACTAAAAACAATTATATTTTGTGAATTATCGCCAAATGTATAAATAGAAAGACAAATAAAAACTACAAGTTTCATACGCGCTGGACTGGGCTTGCAGAGGTATTGCTGTGTATCCTGCAAAGAAATTGCGAACAAATTCATTAAGATTGAAGACATTACTCATACGACATGTAAGTACTATTTACCTAACCTAAGTTTTTACACATATACAAGTATATACATATGTACATAAGGGTGTTTCATGATGTCGGACGTGACCGGCGTAAGCAAATCGTTGTTCGTTTAATTTGACGTGATATATCGGCCGTGACAGATTTTTTTCCCATACTATTTTTTACTAGTAATACATAAATATATCGTCGTTTAAAGTGCAAAACCGCGTATCAACAAAATGCAAAACCGCGTATCGGCAAAATGCAAAACCGCGGGAACCCTCGCAGACGGTTATGCGACACAAGTCACCAGCCTGCATTGTCCAGGTGCGGGCGGTGCGCTTTGGCACGATCACTGTCTCTATTTATTTTAACGCGAAACTACCGTATTTGAAAGTTCAGTTACGCCTCTGAATGGCCCTTAACATGAAAGGTCTGTATTTATACCCTGTTTAGGTACAATGCCGTTGTGTATTTTCCCGGATTTATGTAGTTCAACATGAGAGTATTTATAAACCTACATACTGATAACAGTGTAGGTGAGCGTCGCCAATCATTGTATGTACTTGAGACAAATTGCGCTCTACCTAATATGTAATAGAAGAGTGGACACGTGAGGGGACCAATATAGTTCTCATTGAGCTATATATGTATCGGTAGGTATATGAGCATTAAGTTTCTACATATGATCACCAACACTGCAAAAGCCCCTATTTGGAAAATTTAAAATTTGAAATTGTACGGCTGAGGCAAGAAGTTTTTGAACTTTACAAACTACATATCTGGGAACAATATAGATAAATATTTAAAAGGACAATGATGATGAATATGTAGACTAGACCGCACCAACTTACAAGAAAACAAAAAAAAGTTTACCGTACATGACTGATTCTACATTGTGTAATTGTGCAACACAATTAAAAAAAAAATAATAGTTTTTTTTGCCAAACCACTTAAAGACGCCATTCTGGCACCTACCCACCAGATCTCAGTTCTAATCACCCTAACGTACGACACTAATTTCGGTAAATTAAAGCTCACCAAAAATCTTTAAACCTTTTCTAAGCAAGTATTTCGATTATGACTGTGTTCAGAAATGCATCAAGCCAAGCATCAGTCTCTTTTATTTCAAAACTATAATTGATGGAAATTCCTTATTTACGCAACTAAGTTACAATTCGGCATTTAGCCGTGGTTGCGCATATTGGACATTTCCATTAATTAATGTTTAGAAATAAAGAGACTGATGCTTTGGCCTGATGCATTTCTGAACACACCCTATTGCGATAGAAGAATTTGAATTTTTTTTTGTTGGCCGAAGGTAGGTATGTGTATACATTAGGGCGGTCCTTACAAAATCAAATGAAAGTCGTCGTGTCGCAAAGGGACCAAAGGCCAGATGCCTCTAAGGACTCAAAAAATTAAAACTATTATTTTGTTTTTTTTTCATCTAAAACCCAAAATCGATACTACCAAAGTCGAAGATATCACATATAAATTTTAGACCCGATTGGAGTCGGTTAATACGTCTTCATAGGGTAATCTGAACTTTGACTCCTGTGCGACACGCCTTAACCGACTCCAATAGGGATCAAAAATTATATGTGATATTTTCGACTATAGTAGCACCGGAGTATGGGTTGAGGCTTGTTTGGAAATCTGATGTAAAGCTTTACTTCCTACATTTAAAGACCACCCCTATGTACATACATACATATGTAGGTGTCACCGAAAAATGGGAAAGCGCGACCTCTAGACCGACGGCCGCTGTGGTGTAGTGGGCGGCAGTGCGCACTAGCATTCCGCAGGGCCTGGGTTCGAGCCCAGTTTCCGACTAACTTAAAAAAATTAAAAAACAAGTTTTTTCCAATAGTGGCAGCTTCTCGCCGTTCGAAGTCGGCGTAAAACTGTAAAACTTTGTGTGATAACATCAAGGCGCACGTCACAAAACGGATGAGAAGCTTAAGCTCGGGTTACTATGCTTGCGTATTCTGACGAACTTTTGTTTTGACGATTTCGGAGCAATAAAAAAATATGTGTTTGTTTCGTATTTTTTTTGTGCACAGTAACTGTAGCCGTAGCTAAACACTAACGAAATTCTAACTGTAAACAATGACGTGGGTATCAAGGCGCGAATGCGCTGACAGTAGAAACTTCGTCTTGTCTTCGTTGACCACCAGATCCAATCGCTTTGCTCCCTTATCCAACGTGAAAAATTCAGAACAGACTTCGCGGCATTTGTTACCGATGATGTCGATATCATCGGCAATCCCCAACAATTGCATGCTCTTGTAAAAAATGGTTCCTGAGCGGTTCAGTTGTGCAGCTCTCATTATCTTTTCCAACATCAGATTTAAAAAATCACATGTCTGAAACCCCGTTTGGTAGAAAATGGCTCGGAGAGGTCTTTCCCAATTCTTACGGAGCTGGTGGTATTGCTCAACGACATTTTACGCAACCGCATCAGTTTCAGGGGATGCCAAATGCAGACATCACGGCGTATAGGCAACTTATTTAGTGCTGTCGAAAACGGATTTGAAATAGACAAATAAATGGTAAGTGTCGATCCTTTTCTCCAGGGTCTTTGGCTAAAGATTTGGCTAAAGGTGAATACCTTTTCAGTTCTATGGGCTGAAGTCTTTAACACAATAAGCACGATAAGATCTTGTAACCTATGCTTAGAAGGCTAATGCTGCGGTAGATAGCGCGGGGTCGCGTATCTTGTGGATTGGGCAGAGGACCTTATCAGTTCCTCGCCGACGAATAGCTCGGCTGGCAGGCCGTCAGCTCCAGCAATTTCGTTATTTTTCATCCGCATAATCGCTATTCGTACCTCGTCATAGTAAGAACATCGACTCCAACGTCGTCGACTGTGGGCTCGGGCTCGTTCCAAAATTGCTGGCTTCCAAAATTCACAGTGGCAACTGGACCTAGCAAAGGGTACCCTTGGGTATTTGCACACTTATTTTGGTTTATTACATGAAAACGCGCGATTGAAATCAAAATATTTCAACTCACATGTGCAGTTAAATGACTAACTGCCGTCCCTAAATTGGAGCGCTAAGCGTTGCGTTATCCATTGTCGACGAGTGTCAGCGCGCGCTATCCCCAAATCAACGCGTCGTAATTTTTGACGTTTTCTCAGATCCTCTCGTTTTTATTCTCGTTTCCTCTTTCACTTTTTTGTCCTTTCTCTTTCTTTCCGTCTTCCGCATCCAACTTCAACACGTAACGCCCTGTCAAAAATGAAAATTCCATTTGCTCGGCGTTAGCGCCGCGTTATTGTGGGATGCTTCATACAAATTGTATGGGCATGAGGATTTTTGACAGTTGTTTGGCGCTTGACGCGCCAATTTAGGGATGGCAGTAAGTTTTAATTGAGTACTAATATTTAAATTTCCGGAGCACTAGTTTATTAATAATGTGGCTTCCAAAATTCACAGTGGCAACTGATTTAAAACTTTAAACTGATTAAAACAGATTTGAAATATCCGCGCACTAATTTATTAACAACTTTAATCAGAAATACTCTTTTATGTGAAACACACTTTTATGTGTAAAACACGCAAATTAAATGGTGGGAGTTGAGCTGTCAAAATTACTTCCTTAACTGTAGCTTAACTTAGCTGTCAAAATAATTTTCTGCTTCCAAATTTTCGAGGAAAATGCTGCTCCCTGGCAATTTCGAATAGAAGGATTTTATTCTCGAGAAAAGTAAAATCCGCAAGAAATGAAATCCTCGGGGGAATATTCAGTATTGGTCTGATTTTGACAGCTCACACCGCACAAGTAAAAACAAAATACATGTAAATTTTTGTTTGTGTGTATTAATTCGCCTTGGTAAAAATTTTCCAGTCAAAAATTTTTAGCTTTCCCTCCCAAAGAACTGACATTTGCTCTCTCAATTTCCTCTACTTTTGAAAATCATTTGCTACATGAGAACGCATATTGACACGCTCTAACCGCAACAGTTCGGAACAATTATTTGAAATAGAGCACTCTTAAAATTTTCTTTTAAACTTTCCAACACTGTTTTCGCGCGATCAGCTGACCAGCCGAAACAAAGCAGAAAATTAAACAAAACAAATTCACCGGTAATTGCAATTTTTACAACTTTCGATACAAAGTGAAGTTGACCGGCATTTGTAAATTGTTTATATGAATTCTAAGGAATTTTCGAACCACCAACCGAACACGGCATTACAAAGTATCAATTTTAAATTGGATAGTAGGTAACGTATTCAAACCGCAAACAACTACCTTGGGGAGAAAACTGCGGCACACGTAGTACCATTGCGATATAAATCCTTGTCAGACAATCTTGCGGCAAAGTAAGGCCACAAACACTTATTATGTTTAAGACAACTTGCTTTGATATATGGCGTCAAGAGAAAGAAATGCCCCGGCTTATCACACTTTGCAAGGAGCTGGATGATAAGCTGGCTGGAGGCATCGTTGCGGGATTGATTACAGAGTTTTGCGGCGGACCTGGTTGTGGTAAAACACAAATGTGGTAAGCAAATTAGCCACTTTGAACTGAATTAAATTTTCAAGTGTAATATTTTATAGTTTGCAACTGTGTATTAATGTACAATTTCCTCGGACAGTCGGTGGACTTCAAGGTAAAGCTGTTTATCTGGACACGAATCAGGACTTTAGTCCCACACGTTTGCTAGGTAAAAGTAGTCATGCAGACAAACATTTAATGTACAAAATAATATTAATGAGTTAAAACAATTGAACAACAGAAATTGCCGTTTGCACAGAGAAGCGCTTCCACCGAACCTTACATAAAACCGATATCCATACTCATGCCCAAAATTCTTTCACAGCTAATTCTATAATGAATGGTGTTACATATATTTACTGTCAAGGCTTTTTAATGCTACAGGCTGCCGTAAAGAAATTGCATGAAATGTTAATGGAGGATAAAGAGGTAAATAAATATATACCACTTTCTCATAAATTTACGTATGTATGTGTTTAACTTTATATTTTTGTCTTCCGCTAGATCAAACTAATCGTCATTGATTCGTTCTCTTTTCCACTGCGTGTGATTGAGGAAGTTTCCGAACGTACAGGAATACTTTATACCTTATTGAGCGAGTTGCAACACTTAGCAGTGGAGTACAGACTCATTGTAAGTAGTTCTCGCTTTCTAGTTTGGTCTTTAAATAATTGAATCAGTTTTAAATGCATACTTGCCGAGTAGCCGAGTGGTTATGGGTGCGCAATACCACACGGCAGGTTCGATTCGTGGTCCAAATGTACTTTAGAAATTGGAGGAGAAACTCGACACAATACCTAGTAAAATATGAGCGACCAATATTTATTTACATATTGCCTAGAACCACATTCTAAAATTATTTTGACCAGTTTGGCTATATGTTTTTGGTTTATTTAATGTTAAATTTTTTTTTAAATATCTAGCTATAAATTCACTTTTCAAAATTTGTCAAAAACATATAAAAATTCAACAAATTTTCACCAATATTTCAAACCATTTATTCAAAATTTTTGATTTTACCTCCTTTTTATTAGCTCGGGATGTAACTATGTAATATTGATGCGCCTAAAAGATGCAGCGATTTCTATTCTCAAGTTACATACCTGATGACAGTACGATTGGAAACTTTTTTTTTAGTTTTTTTAAACTATAATTTCTTTAATAATATTTTTCGGTATGAACGTAAAAAAGTCTCGGATAGTTTTGCCATAAATTCACTCCCTCAAAAGTTATTCAAAGTTTTAGTTGACATTTTTTTATATGGAGGAAAATCGACAACACCGCCAACAAAAAAAAAATCCCAAAAATCAGTGGTATTTTGTAGTCGATTTCACGGAAACAATTTAGGTGAAAAATTATTATATTTTTAACCGACTTCACAAAAAAGAGAAAGCTTATCAATTCTTCGAAAGATTTTTTTTTATTTTATTATTATTTTCGTTATGTATGTTACCGCATAACTTTGAACCACGTTAACTGATTTCTATAATTCTTTTTTTAAAGGAAAGTTGTTACTTCACATCCGATCATCGGATCATGAAGAAGTTAACGATAATCTTAAATTTTTATATAAGAATTGAAGTCGGTTTTGTTTTTTGTTTAAAAATTACTTTTCTGTCAGTTTCCGTATTAAATTTATATAAAAAAAAATGTTTTTCACTTAAATTTCTTTCGTGAAACTGTCTATTAGTATCCAGTTAGTATGACCGTTTTTTATATATCGCAACACCATCGCCACCCACTAAGTGTTCATGGCAAGTATGTAGCCTAAATAGCTAGCATATGTACATATCGATAATCCTCTACAATAAGGACACAACTCAAAACTGAAAAAAGTGTTTCACGTCTCTAATACTTATCTAATCCTTATTAAAGTAAGTAGTAAGGATTACTAATGGGAGCAGTAGCCGACTGTTTCTGGAACGTTAAAATTTGGACGTCATTGATATCTCTCGATTTTGTAAAATTTGTTTCAAATATTGATTAATTGTTGTTCGGTTAATAGGTCAATAATTCAATTTAAAACTTTCGAGCAAAGATCAAGCGATTCCCAATATGTATTTTATTGCATTAAAATGTTCTTAGGCTATTTTTCATTCGAAATTTTTATAATTTCATTTATCGCAGGTTGTCATAACAAACGAGTTGACCACGCGTGTGAATGGGAATGATTGGAAAATATGTCCTGCACTTGGCGACAGCCATGCACACAAAATTAATCAGCGCATCATCCTCAGTAAATGTAATGAACAAAAGTATTATGTTGCGTTGGTGGAGAAATCTAACGTAGTACAACAAATAGCGATACCTTTTGTGGTAAATGTACTTGCGATTTGTTTTTTTGTGGTAACATTTATTTCTCATACAACGCTTTTCTTCTCACAGATCAAACAAAATGGCATACGAGATATATCGTAACCCATATACATACATCCAGAGTCGCTTAAAAATCAAATCACAAACAAAAAAATGTTCGATTTATATGCACATACATACACATAAAAAATAAAAGGGTAAGTGCGCTAATGTAATATAATATTTTTAGTGTCATGATTAATATTTGTGACGTTAAAAGTCTCAGTTACCGTGAAGAGAATCCCAGCGGTATTCATATTTGCCTTAACATGAATGTAGGCATGTGAATGCCAGTGCATCTTTGTGAATATTTGATTGCTCTGTTTCTGTGACGAGACAGAATATTGCTCTCAGTTAAACTTTGTGTACATAAATTTTTGAAGCAAAATGCGCTGTATAAACGTAATAAAATGCGTTACTTCTACCTCTACTGCTCTACTCAAGATCATGATTCATGCATAGAGTGTACTTATTGTATGTAAGTAAGTATCTAATTGTATTGTTTTTTCTTATTCATAAAAATTTGTTTGTTTGTATTTGCAGTGATTTTGATACTAGCCCGGAAATAATGTAATGAAATGACGAAATAATAAGTTAGTTAATGGCGGTAAGTACTCAAGATGATTAATAAATTAGCAAATTATAATGTAAATTTATTGTTCACTCTTAATTTTATTTTATTTAAAATAATATTTATTTCAACAAAGGTAAAATAAAGTAATATTTCTAAACTTAAGGTACAGATTTAATTTTTTTGATAGCTTTAAAATGTATTTAGTTAAAAACTTAATAATCATTTAGGGTAGACATACCCAGTAGATAATTTCTGTGCGGCTATTATCTAATGAGTGAGCTACAATTTTCGGATCGCTATCGCAAGTTGCCGACGTGTGTTACGAATGTCGCAAGATTGCGATAGTGATCCAATATTTGTGGTTTACTTGTTTGAGCTAAAAGCCTTTTCAAAAGGTCTTCCTTAGAATCAGGAGGCTTTCTACTCTGAATTGGGATAAATTGAAGGCATTTTCCTTTCGCTACCCATTGAAGAGCTTTGATGGGACGTATTTCAGGAGGCCTTTTGAGAAACCCTTTTTTTCTAAAGCGCCTTTACTAATTCATAAAAATCATACTTCTTGAGGCTATTTATTAAAGGTTCTCACAAAGATGTTTTATTGCAACATAAAGTGCATATTTTTAATGCTCAAAAATTATAAGCTAAATCAACCTTAACGTGAGTTTCGCCCGAAAAAAAATTCGGCCGATGTTTTTTCATCCTCCCCTAGTGAATACACGGAAGCGAAAAGTTGACCGGTTCTGGGAGAATAAAGATCATGATAAAGCTGAATATAAAATAAATGTAAGCGATAAAAAAACTATTCCACAAGTGCTATTTTTTATGCCTGGTTAACAGGTTACACTTATGGTGAATTCAGCAGCGCAATTGCAACATCCGCATTATATTTAGACATCTTTACTTCGCGAAAAACCCAATGGAAATAAAGTTTGGCTAAACGGAAGGTAATGGTTACTCAACCTTCATCAAACAGATTTGTCAAACAAGTTTGTTCTGAGTACTCCGCTTTAACCACTTTTTGAAGTGAAACTTCTTTGCATTCGGTTGGGAGTAAATGCAACCATCGATGTAACGAAAAAGCGACAAAAGAAGGTAGGGAATGGCGAGGTGCCAAATTAAAGGCCTAGGTAATTGAGATATGTATGTAAACAATTTTCATAGTAAAAACAAAAAAAAAGATCAATTCAAAAAATTTCGTACAAAAATTAAAAAAATTCAACAAACTTTAACAATTGCACCCAAAACTTGTAAACATTTTATTCAGAATTTTCAGAAAAGTTCTAGTTATGCAGTTTTATAGCCCATTAAATTTATTATTTAAATTTATTTAATCAGTTAAATTAATTATTGGAATTATTAAATGTGCATAAAAAATGTTGAAATATGTATCTCAATATAGGAGCCTTAAGAAGGTTTTAGTTTGAAAATATTTTTAAAAGGGTTTAAAAGTCCATTTTAATTATGAAATATGTTTTATAAAATATTAAAATATGGGTGGCAAACGAAAGAGTGGTAAGAAATCTTTAATTTGAACATTTAGGACATTGTCGAGGCATTTGAAGAGGGTTGGCCCCTGTTTAAAAAGTTAAATACAAAATATTTAATCAGTTCAACTAATTATTAAACACTTTACGTTTAAACTATATTTGGGAGGGTTGCCAAGTATCTGAAAAATCAAATTCGACTTAATTCTTTACTTACATAAATATTTTAATGTCACAAGAAAAAGATTTTAGTTTTGAAAATGCTTTTGAAAACGGCTGCCACCAATTTGAAGTGTCGAATTTAGTCAACTTATATGCAAGATATGAAAAATAATATATTTAAAACTGAGTGTCACACGAAAAAGTGTTTGAAAATACTATTTTTTAGGGTTGCCACCTGTTGCCGGTAACTGTGACAAACACTTGGAATTTTTTTTTAAGATTTGAGGAAGGTTGCCACCTGTTTAATATGTCAAATTCAATTTTGGCGTTTAACGCCACCCGGGCTCACTAGAAATAAGGAAATACGGGTCATAGAGAGAAAAGAAGCTTCACATACCTTTTTTTGCGTAAATTTATTTCCGAGATATGCATTCAAATATGTATGCATATATAAAGCCCGACTTATGTTATGCAATTATTTGTTTGTTCCATCTATTTCGTTGGCGTTGGCTTGGAAAGCAGATTCGTTCTTTTTATCTGTACAATAAAAGACAACCACATTCAGAGCATAACAAAGTAAATGACGTCATTGAGATCAGCATAAACAAGTTTTCATACATCCAAAAGTTTCCAATAGCCTAAGCAACAAAAAATAATAGAGATGATTAATGTTTAATAGCCGGTGTAATGAAAACTACCTACAAAACACGTAGTTGGACGACAACGAAAGAGAATGGGAGCGCTAGCGAAACCCGCCTTTTATTGGAAGTAATTTATATATTTAAAACTGAGCGTTTGCGCCACATAGAAAGCCGGCAGCTAGTTGTTGTTATATTAGAGAGCCTTTACGACATTTGCTCTTTTGGGCCACATTTTACGCTCCCCAATACGTTGATCACCCATTCCTTGTGTGCTTCCAATGGTCGCAGGAATAAAAGTAATTGCAATTGAGTGGCGCATTTCAGTCTACGTTGAGGCGTTGAAGCAGTGAGTGTACACATTTGGCAGTGATACAATAAATACATACTATACATACATACATACATACAATCGCTTGTGGTAAATAGAAAATTTGTTAAAAATAGTTTAGTTTTCAACTTTCACTTAGTGTGAGTTGTTTGTTTTATATATGTATGTACATATCTATTTTTTTTTTTAATTATGTGTATGTGTGGCATGCGGGTAGAAGTATACCAAAATTATCTGCTGGGAGGAGAAAGTGTAACTAGTATAAAAGTGTATAATTTATTTAAAATTTTATGTTTAACAAATGCATACTTAGAAAACGTTTTAATGATTTTTCTTTAGTAAATATTTAGTTTGAAATTTGTTCAAAGTGTTTTTCTAATATGAAAGGGTAAAGAAATATAGTTTTTGCTTTGATATTATGTTCTCTTCTTGGAATTATGTTCAAATCAAACGCTCTAACAGTAGCTGATGACATCATCGTTCAAACTCACAACCATCATCTTCGTCGCCAGCATTAACAACAACAAAATATTGAAAATATATAACTCAGAAAGACACGATAAATGTTAAACAAATAAAACTTAACAATAAAAAAATAACTGCGTACGCGTTAAAACAGACGCTGTGACTAAGGCGACCTTTTACATACATACATATGTATATCTAAATATTTATTAATATGTACATATGTATGTACGTATATCTACATGTGTAAAATCACGAATACGAATATGTAAGGTTTTTGTCTAGTAGCAATTGCCAACAAGACAATGCACATTACTTACATACATATAAACAGATTGTGGAAAATAGCAACACAATAAAGTCATGGATAGTAAATATGTATGTAAAAATCTACACCAGTTTATGTCTGTTAATGTATGCGCATATGTACATATAAAAAACTGGAATGATAGCTAGCTTTAATAGAGCGGCATCTGTTCAAGATCATTTTGCGAAACAAAATCTACTCGCTATAATTTAGTGTATATGTATGATCTTCGACAAGTATTACATAGACGTATATAATTTAGTACATACATACATGCATATATATATGTACAAGTATATGTATACTTTCTGTTATATACATACATATATGTATGCAATTCATTTGCATATACATACATATGTACATATAAATACAAAGGCATGTCAATAAACCGCGATAAAATATTACTGTGAAAAGAATTGCAACGGATGTGCGAAATAAAGCAGAAATTGATAGTCACAAGTTCAACAAGCCACAGCATAATATAAAAAATTTCATTTTCAGAGCGAAATGTCGGCAATTTTCAATCGAACGAGAAGGCGGGGTAAACTGTATGCCAAAATATAAAGCCTAGTTTATTTCCACTGGCCTAGTTAAGATTTAGCTGTTGTCGAGTGCTTGGCGGCTATTTACAACAATTAATTATTAAACTAATTCCACTTTAATGACGTACATATGTATGTATATATGTACATACGTGCGCACATTTATATATACAAATTATTTGTTTTGCAATTTCTTAATTGTTTGCGAATGCTTATACATACATACATATACTATGTAGCTTACCTTATTATATGAATCAGTAACCACTTTTAAAATAATACTTTTTGTGACAATCTCAATGCTGATGATTCATCTGTACAGAGAGTCAGTCATTGGCTTTCCGGCAAACTAACGCTCACAGCCGAACGTGTTGGAATGTTAAATGCACTATATGCATCATTGTAATAAGTTAAAGGTTACTAAAAAAATATGTACACGATAGAATTATTTATTTATTTATTTATTTATTTGTTTATGAAGTCTACAACAGGATGTTCTTACAGACTACACATATTAGAAAAAATTACATATTATAAAATATTATTGAGATTACTTAAATAAGATTCAAGCCGATTTCGGAAAATACCCTTTGGCATAGAGAGNTGTAGGTATACACACGTCAAGCTTTGCCATTGAGTAGAGTTGAATTTATTTAAAGCTCAGCTCTGCATTTCCGATTTCATCAATGTATGCTTCTGGAAATAAATAAATGGGCGCCTCGCTATGAAAATCAAATGCCGAATTAACGAAATTTACCAATCCAAAGCCAAACAGAGGTGGAGCTATGCAGAATCGTATAGGCTTACCAGACAGATCTAAAATATCTACGACTCTTAAAACCACGGCTCTGGTAGGAATGAGCAAGAAAAACCAGTGACCGAAAATAACAGTTATTTTTTTTTTTTAACAGTCAAACTTGGCCAGATATTTTTTAAGCCCGAAATAAAAGTCTTTTTCTAATGATAAACAAACCGTTAATTCAAATTAAATAAATGAAAGAGAAATAGCTTTAAAACTGAAATGTGTAAACGAGGAAAGCCACCTATTTAAAAATATATCAATAAAAAATGCTATTTTATTACCATAGAACAAACCTTGGG